TATATATATATATATATATATATATATAGATGCAACAGAAATACACGTTTTGGAGGTCCTCTAATATGATAAAATGTTTTTAACGTCCGTCCGACCGTCCTTTTTGTGTGTCCGTAAAACTGTCAATCAGATGGTCTTTTCGTACAACTGACCGATGGTCCGTACTCCCGTCTGTGGGCCTGCTCGTCCGCAGGTCAGCCTGCCCGTCTATGCCCTATGCCCTCGTCTGTGCGCCTCTCGGTCCGCCTCTTTACCCGTGTGTTCACCTCTGTCACCACTGTCAATACGCCCGTCATTGTGTCCGCTTGTGCGCCCCTCAGTCCTCCGGTCTTTGCGCTCATCTGTGAGCCCTTCTGTCTACCAGTTCGCCTGTCCGACCGTCTACCGATCATCTGTCCGCCCGTCTGACAATCTGTCCGCCTGACAGTGCGCCCCTCTGTGCGCCCGTCTGTCTGCTTCTCTGTCATACCGTCTATCCGATCATTTGTGCGTCTGCCTGTCCGTCTGTCTCACCGCCTGTCTCACCGCCGGACAGACTTATAGAGACGGGCAGACAGTATGACGGATGGACTGGCAGGCGGAGAGACGGGCGGAAAGACAAAGAGACAGACGCGCACACAGACTAGCGCATTGGAGGCGCATAGACGGGCAGACAGAGGCATAGATGGGCAGGCAGAGGTACGGACAGACGGGGGCATTGAACTTGCGCTTCAAATCCAGGTTTCATCTGGCTCTCAAGAACCTGCCCCAAAGTAGGTTCTATTCCACAGATTCTGTTTATATTTCATTACGAAGCAGCGCAAAGTGTTCATACTGTTCAGCTTGTGCTTTCGTCCCAGAGGACACCAGGCACCGAAACCCTGTTCACAAAGTTAATTTTACAGCACATAATTGTATTATATTTCCTTTTACTTCAGATTAACACTTCTGAACTATATTAAATATCTATTTCAAGTCTGTACTCCTTAAATAAAAGACTATATTGGCTCATTTCTCATTTCTGTTATTGCGTGAGGAATTGGGACTAAGCACATTTTTTTCAAAGACGACCTTTTCAATGAATTTGCCAAATATAGTTATGTTTTCATGTTTTGGAATTTTAAACAACTCTAAATCTGTTAGCAAATGCTTACCAGGTGGAAGTCAACGTGTGTTCCATCGCTGACTTCGCGTAGCTGCGTGAAGAAGTGAGAGTTGCTCTTGGAAAGCACCAGTGCAACCTTGCCACTTCGCCGCATCTCCTCCAAGTGGTGCAACATTTGTGGTACGTGGGACCTATTGAACCTGTCTATAGAAGGCATTATTTCAGTTTTTCTATGAAGGGTTTTTAATGGTTGAAGTAAGGCTTCTTCTTCGAAATGACTGAAGAGATTTCTTGGACTTTGTAAACCGTCAATCTGAAAATGAATATGTAGTTAAATCTATGAAACATTTCTGCTACTTTTAGCCTATATTTTGTATATTTTTAAAACTTTTAATGATGTTTACTTTAGTGATGTTTAGTGAGAATTTAGGCTTTCCTATTGTTTTGGGATTAATCTCGTTAATCAAAACGTTGAGATACGTCTAGAAGTATTGCTACTGTGTTAATTTTATTGGAAGGCACTATGAATATGTTCAGTTATCCGCAGTAATTGATGAGCTGTTTAGAATAGTTGTTAAATCCAAATTGATGATTTGGAATGGATTCTGATTTTTTTATATTAGTGTTGAGTGATTTAATATTTTTTCGAATATATTTGAAATAGTTGAGGAGTCTATAATTATATGTAAGGTTATAATTTGCGTTTAGTTTAGAGATCAAGATTGTATCTGATATTTTCCACGTTATAGGGAAATAACTTATTATAAGTGATACATTCTATAAAAATGTTATTTATGTATGCAATTGTGAGTTTCGATAGAGTTTTTAATATTTTGTTGCTACTTAGATCATGTCAAGATGCTTTTTTTTGAGGGGGGAAATGTTTCATACAATTCTGACTTCGGTAGGGTAATAAATTGTATTCTGTGAGTGGCATCGTATATTAGTGCTTCGTTACATCCAATTATTGCTTGGTGATGTGGGTGTATCATTTGGTTTACATATTTGGGCGAAGTGTTCTGCGAGCGCTTCAGCCTTTTTTGATAAGCATATTTTTTGCTAGCTAGTGTCATGTTGTGGGATGGTTATTTGTTTATTTAGAAACAATTCTGTAAAGTGCCATAGCTATTTGTTCCAGGTATTTAATGATTATGTTTTGGTGTAGTGTTAATAAGAATCAGTGTTACAGTTACAACGTGGTAGATACTTAAGGCGCATCAATGCATCGATCGAGTGGCACGAGTCTAAATATCACACGAATGTAAACTAAACTACTGTGTTAGTTGACACCTTTTGTAAACATTATGTCTGCAACGTTTTTGTAGAGAAATTTATTCTGAAATTTTTTCACAACTGAGGGCGAAGTTGAGAGCAGAAAGCAGTTAATTGCAAAACTGAGCGCGAAATTGAATATAGCAGATCATACTAAGTCTGCGGGCTCTACGTATAAAAGTACTACGTATAGTCGTCATAGAAGTGACACCTGTACATACAGGCCCATTTCCATTTTAAAAAATGAGTAATTTTTGAGAAAGTGAGGAGTAAGGATTTTTGAGAATGAGCAATTTTGAGTTTATTTCAGAAAAATGTTTTGTTTTCGAGAGAGTTCAAAAGAAATCATTTAAAAAACTGGAACTTACAAATGCAATAAATTATGAATATGTATGTACCTAATGTACGAAATAGTACGGAATAAAATTGTGTAATTTTTGTAAAATCAAAAGAATACTACAAAGTGGCATTGATGCCATGTTATTCAGTGAATGTAGCTCCAATTGTTCAAAAAAATTGTGGAAAAAAGTAGGATTTTGAGAAAATCTTATATTCAAAATGCCCTTATTTCACTCAAAGTTACGTAAAACTACTAATATATTTTTAAAATTTCCCAGTAATTAATTAAATATTTAAATATTTTTGAAAACATTGATTGAAAAACATCTTAATTTTTATAGAGCTTCCGAGTTTACACTTACTTGTAGAGCAACCTCTTCTAAAGTGTTAATATCTCTCCAGTAAGTAGGTGTTGTAAGGAAACTCAATATTTGTCCTGCGTAGGCATTTGTTATAACGAGACTTAGAATTAACAGAGATAGGAGGCACATTCTCTTGGGAAGAAAATTGACCTGAAAAATTAAGAGATATCCATTAAATTCATAAAATTACGAAAAAATATCTTTATTTATTTATATTTGTGTATATTTATTTAAAATTATTCTTCAGATTAACTAACAACCTTGATATTCATTTGGAGATTCGTTATTGAGAATTTGGAGTCAATATCAATAGGACTTAAAAATGTATATCGTTTTGCCAGTCTTTGCCAGACTTTTGTCTGTCACTATGACTTCTTCCTAATTGCTATCCTATTTTGTGTTTCAAATACAAAAAAATATACTCAAAGTGAGGTACCAAAGTCATGTGAACAGAGTATTTACTCTTTTGGGACTGAGATATACACAAGATTCTTCATAGGGAAATATTGAATACATAATATGAATAATTATCTCATAAAAAGTAATTGCGGTATAAGGACTCAATGAATGAACAATACATATGGACTGGAGAATCTAGAAAAACAAAATAATCATCGTTGTTTCTGAGGCGTGAGAAAGTTTATAGACTTTATTGTGTTCTTATTGTTGGAATGCGTCATCTAACGAAATGCAAGAAAGGTAGACTACCAATGGTAACAGATTTCAGTAAAGGTGTAGGTGTCGAGACAAGATATGTGACTCTCGGGAAACGAGTTACGCAAATACCAAAATTTCAAAAATTTTGAAAACAAACGAAAACGTAGGACATGCTTCTTAGAAGCCGTAATTTTAGCAGAAAATATTGATCGCTGTAGCGACTATTTGAGTACACAGGATGTTTAATTGTTGTGATCTGGAGCAGTCCCGAGTAAGGATGTCCACCGGAAGTATTCGCGAGTAATTCTTTTATGTAAATATTTCAAGTTGTTTAATAGTAGATTTAGGACATTAACTTTGCCATAATTTCAAAGCACAAGATAAAGACCCAGAATATTATTGGTTCGGGGAAGTTTCTTCACTTCGGTAGTGCAGTCTACGAGGACATCTTCACAAACTGTAACAGCCATGAAAAACATCTCGAAAGATAGAATTTAATTATTCTTTCTCCATTTCATTATTATATCCATTTAATTCTCTTAGACTGTTATATCTGGGACATACTTTGAAAATGTGATCAAGATTTATAGGGGTAGATTATAAAAGTACGTGGAAGTCGGGCTTTAATACAAAACTAAAGACAAATATTTTGAAGTATATGGATATTAAGTTTCAGAGTAGATGAACCCGTGCGATTTCATCAAAGAAGGAAATGCTGAAGAAAAGTTAAGACAAAACATTGTACACATCCATGAAGCAACATTGTTATTTATTTACCAACATATTTACGTGGATATTGTTTTGGCCTGAAACAGCAAATCCTGCTATCAACGTTTTCTAAATTTACTTTTCGCATGTAAGGGGAGATGTTTTTCTTAAGAGAATGAATATGTGCAAAGGTACCAAAATGTTATAACTCACTTTTAAAAACAAATTCATGACAGCAATTTTAAGCATCAAAATGTCACGAAAGATTACTCTGTGGCTTTTGTCTTATTGCAATTTGTCCCCATTGGTTTTTCATAAACTACAAGAGAAATACACCTTTTGCCTACTTCTAAACATTAACAAACAAGAGTGATATATGTCATTTTGTGCCTCATATCATGAAAAATTGACATATCATTTTGCTATTTGCACAGAAATTTTCAGCAATCACCGAGGCTGTACTGGATGGGTCGTCGTCCCACGTAAGTAATATATAATTATAATGGAACGCGGAAGTCGGGCTTTAATAAGTAACTAAAGATAAAAATTTTTAACTAGTATATAAATATCAAAATAGTTTTAGACTAGCTGAACCCGTACGATTATATCGCACAGAACGAACTGCAGTAGAAAAACTTACGACAAAAATACTACATATTCATGAATCTACATTGTTTTATAGTTACCAACCTATTTTACATGGATATTGTTTTGGACTGTATCAGCAAATCCTGCAATCAAAATTACCTTAATCTATCTAACAAATTGTATGAAATACAATTTCAAAATAATAATTAGAACTCCATCGCCTTTTTTATGTTTTCCATAGGTAACACAAGTATTCATAAGCAAATACACTGAATACTTACAATTGATAGTCACAAATAATCGTTTAACGATTACACAACACGATGATCTCAAAGCAAGAGCAACTGCTTTTGCAATTCCCGCGAACTTGCCAATTTGTCATGACGTTTCACAACAACACAAAATTCGTACCTTCATTTATTAATAAAGGAAAGGTTTTTAGTAGATTTAATAGGTTAAATGAACAGTGCACATAACGTACTCGATGCTACCAAAGTACTCTAGGGCGCGGCAAGCAATGCTCGCCTCATTCGAGAATGTCACCGGAAAAGGAAGGAAACGACGCTCCGCCCAGCTCCGTTAGCTGACTGACGCCGGTGGCTGCTGGGACGAGGCAGCCGGTTTGAATTTCGCTATTGCCCGAAAGTAGCATTTAAACTACATTTTCTTCAAGATAATTTTTTTTCGGAAAAATTGCATCTGCCATAGTTAATAAACGCCAACTTCGAATCTAGGGTATTTTTGTAACGGGGGCTTCTGGACACCATATATATATTGAAACGAAGAACTTTTCTGTAATTAGAACAATTAAAATTGATCACCAATTATAAATTAAAATAAAGTACTGGAGTTGATCAGCGCAGTAACGCCGCCGCCGCCGCCGCCACCAACGGTCAAATCGGGGGCGAAACGGCGAGGCGAGCGACGGTGAGTGGTGCGCGGAGAGGCCTCGAGTGAAGCACGGACGGGCAGCGCTGCGTCCAAGAGATTTATTGTCGTTGTTAAGTGCAATTTGGACTGAGTGTGGCCGTTGAGTGTGGAACCAGGTTGATACGGATTAACAATTAGATGATTAGTGGAAGTAGAATTTCGCACCAGAACTGACAAAAACCAATAAGACAGGAAATCGTGTGGCCGGTGGGGCTCGTGTCATTGTCCCGCCCTGGTATAATATAACAGTGGGCAGTAATGTACGGACATCCGCGCAAAGTTGAGGAAGGCCGCTGAAAAGACTAGAACAGCCGACGAACATCAATCACGCGTCGTGCGTTCCAATACCCGTGAAACATTGTTCACACCGGCTGGAGTGGATCCTGGCGAATTCATCGGCCGTTACGTTGGGGCCAGAGGAGTTGGTCGCCGAAGGAGGGCGAATTCCTGGCGGACTTCGGGGCGAACCGAAGATTGCCGAAGACACCGCCGCCGTTGCCACGACGGCCCCGCTCGCCTCCAGAGGAAGCAGATGGTTTTTAAAACATCAAGGTAGCGTTGACCGTGCACTTGTTTCCAAGGCCTGCGCATTGCGATTTGTAAATACTATTTGTAAAGTGTGTTCTCTGATCATTAAAATATTTAGATGTGCAAAAGAATTTATAACGATTATCTTCCTATGCTACACCAAATTCCTGGAGACCCATTCACGAAAATGTACCTGTCCCTTGCATAATTTATTTGTCGTGAAAGTACCGCTTCTCAGGTACGTCACAATATATATATGCCGATAATTTGGATGAGGGATTGCTACGTCAACACAACATACTCGTATAACATGTTTAATTAACAATTGGCATGATTATGAGGATGAATATGAACATGCACATGGGTTACAGATAGTTTTCATTTTTCAGACACTATTGCTGCAAAAAATAACTTGCCACTCTGTGGGCATTACACTCTTCATTTAGTCCCACCCACGTTCTTTGCGGGGGAAAGGGCGGACGATAACCCCAACTAATGACACCGATTATGTCTTTACTGCTTTGTTGAATAGCTGCGCCACCCCTCAACCTCTGGGCGGCAGCACTCGACGCCACAGGGTGGTTGTCAGCTGATTCACTCCGGCCGGCGGACCGCTTTGGCTCCTTGACGGCCCCCTGCAGGCAGCGCTCGCCCTCGCGTTCATGGTCATGCCCCCCTTTGGCGACGCAGACGTCCAGGCTTCCCCTTGTCGCGCGTGGCGACGACCTGTTCTCGATGGCGACGGTGACCCGAACACATCGCTCGGCGAAGGCAAAGCGGCGATCGCGCGTACCGTGGCCATTACGCAAGGATGTCGGAAGTCCCCACAACCGCAGAAGATAGAATGCTAGAGGTTCTCACAAGCGCATGAAAGTATGTCTTCCTCGAGGCTCACTCAATTCCGAGTTCAATTGAAGTTGTCATCTGATTCCTCACGTAAAATTTACGAACTCGAGGCACTTTCATCATTGATCTGTGAACTCTAGGCGTCGTCCTAGTGGGTCTTAAAGTCTATCTCTATTGCAAATCAGGGCGATCTTCGAATGAACCTCTATCTCCATCTGTCTTGACGGCTCTGCCTCTGGCAACACGAAAGCTTGGAACTCAACCTTTCGCACGCAACCCAATCTCTGATTGCTAGCTCGACTTCGGAGAGCATTGGCGGGTGTGATCTCGCATCATTGAGGTGCTAAAAATTTACACAAAAAAACTGTCGTTGGAGTTTCGGCGCATTGAACAAATTTGTGCCGTAAAATTCACTAAATTACGAACCACTATTAGCACCTCATAATACGCTACAATGGCTGCAACGAAAATTCGAGAACACGCAGTTTCCGATCGTCGCACGTTGAAGAAAGGGCGGAGTCGGAGGAAACGAGGAAGAAACGTTACAAATGACGAGCACAGCGATGGATCTAGCCGATGTTCTTTGCGTTGGTTTTGGCGGTGGCCGAATCCGAGGTCATCGGAGTGATCGAAAGAGAAACAAATGTTAAATTGAGGAACTGTGAAGTAAAGAGGGAAATTTTAACTGTGCTTCTGGTAACATTATTTCTAAACCTGTTTTGGTGCATGATTTAATTGTCGACATGAGTGAGTGAAATTCTTTAACTAATGTTAATGTAAATTATTTATTTATAATTACTTGAACAACTGATGAGGTTCAAGCCAGGCAGAAGTATTGTTGAAACCCGCACCAACCGGTTGTCGAGGCGATGAGTACAATTATGAATGTGTGC